CAGCTAGAAATGGTGGTGCACCCCCACATCACAGTGTTCAGGAGAAAGAGATGAGGGGTACTCACGGAGCTCATTGGTCAGTCAGTCTGTCTTATGACAGACTGACTTATACATGATCAAAGAAGACATCCAGCATCAGCTTATACACACACACACACACACACACACACACACACACACACACACACAGGGGGGGGGTTTGCAGTGGAGAAGAGAGTAAAAAGCATCAGAGATTAGTTTGGTAGAGTACTTGCTTGCCATTTAAAAGGACCCAAATTCAACTCTCAGTACTGTGAAAAAAGTACTGTCACAATAATTAACAAATAAATAAATAATGCTAAAACTTCAGTGTACAGAGAAACCAATTTTCTCATAGTGTTTGTAGAAGGTCATTGGATATGTGTGTGTGTGTGTGTGTTGCTTATAGGAATTTCTCATCAGCAAATATAGTTTGGTTCTCTATTCAGCTTTGTCAATATTGGAATATTAGAAACAGCTTAAACAAATCCATTAATACGCACTAGATAAATTAATTGGGATATAACAGAAAAACACTGTTGCTTTATCTGGTTGTTAAAATGATGCTTTTGTTTATTGTTACAGAAATGTAGCCCATATGGTGACAAGATTTTGTGCGATGTGGATAGCTTGGTCCTGCTGGCATAGACGCAAGTCTGTATCTGTGAAAAGCATTCCTAAAGTTTGCAGGTGTTAATCACTGGGTGATTAATTCTTACTCTTTCCTTTGCAGCTTAAAAAAAGTGGTGTGTGTGTGTGTGTGTGTGTGTGTGTGTGTGTGTGTGTGTGCAAGCCACCTGTGTGCAGATATGCCAGAAAAGGGTGTTGGATCCCCTAGAACTGGAGTTACAGACAGCCGGGAGCTGCCTGACGTGGGGTTTGGGAACCTGTCTCTGGAAGAGCAGCAAGCATTCTTAGCAGCTGAGCCATCTCTTCAGGCCTACTGTTATATTCTCATACATTGTCTGCATTTTAAAAATTAGTAATGTATCAGCTTAGTAATCATTAAGAAAAAGCATTTCATTGGGAAACGTGGGAAACCTGAAGTTCCAGACTAGAAGTGAGAGCAGGCTTAATGGCTCCCAGGCTGCAGCAACCAGAACAGGAACCTGGGAAGCAAGCCTCTAGGGTCAAACTCTCTTTCATTCAGCCACGCATTCTCCTTCCCTGTGCAGCCTGTAGTGAGCGACTGGCCTATCCCCCAGTTTCCTCTTTCTTTCTAAAACGAAGTGGATAGGTCCAATATCCTCGTGGCCCGGCCATGAAACGGGGGTAATAGGAAGTAACGCCATTAAAGCTAATTAAAATCGTTCTATATTTTCTGCTTGGCCAGTGGGTCAGCTGGGAGAGATACAAAATCTCAGAGAAGGTTGGTTAAAAAAATGTAAAATCTGGCCAAAGGTTGCACCCCTTGTGGTGTAGCTTCTCCCAGAGGAAGAGCTGCCTCTGTGGCTGGAGCTCAGCCCACACCGCAGAGGAGCCAAGCTCCACCCTGACTCCCAATGGAGAAGGACTTCCTCCTTAGACACTTGTCCTCAGAGTTCCTTGAGATTTCTGTGTTTGTCTTTAATGTCGTTGGAGGGGGGCGTGCTTCTCTTTCTATTTAAGGCATCTTGAGTACAGTGCTCCTAGCTGCTGGGTTCGGTGAAGCCAGGGGTGAATGGTTGTGCTTACTCCATCCGAATTTCCTGCTAGGCACATGAAATGAAAGATTCCCAGGCTCTCTAAGGTTCTGATGTAGTAGGGTCAGCTATGCAGAATCTGCATTTTTAAAGTTTCCGGGTGATCCCAGTGGGTTAGGATTATGGACTATGGACTTGGGGCTAGAGAGATGGCTCAGCAGTTACGCGCTAGCTGCTCTCGCCAGTTTCCCTTGGGTACTCCTTGTCAGGCTTCCTCATCCAGGAAGCTGGCACTGGAACCAGTGAGCCACAGTCCTCCATAGGTGCCCCTGGGCCTGCCATGGGGCCCATCGCAGGAACATGGTGGCCTCCTGCTGTGAACGCAGCAGAAATGCTTCCCAGCTTGGAATGAGCCATCCGGGAGCATGGGCGCAGGTTCTGCTGAGTCTGCTGCCTCGGATACTCTGGGATTTGAGGGCAGAGATGACTCAGACAACTTCAGAGTGATCCGAGGTGCTGAGGGGCCCAGCAGCCCCATGATGCTACAGAAGGGGACTTAAACACTGGGGTGACAGGGTTAAAGTTATGGGCTGAAAATCCAAAATACACGTGTTTTTAAAAATACACAGGCTGTGGGGCCATGCAAGATGACTCCCCTGGCCAAGGTGCTCGCTACAGAATCTCGGAGACCTTATGGCCAGAGGTTTCATAATGGTGGCCGACCTCCACCTAGCCACATATGCACTGTGGCAGCCTATCCAAAACACACACACACACACACACACACACACACACACACACACACACACGCTCCTATTAAAAAAAAATCCTCAGGGTTTTGACTCACAGCCAGGGAGCCATTTATTTATGATTTATGGGAAGTAATTCAGGGGATAAGGACACCCTCTTCCCCAGTAGTGAAAATCAAAGATACTGGGATGTGTGTACCTCTTTGTGGACAGTATCTCTCAGAGGGCTATTCCATTAATAGGCAGTGACCACACAAGTCCTGCCTTTAAAACTATGTAAGGGAGACCCTAGTCTGTGCACCAGTGAGGAGGGGCCCAGGAAGAACTTCCAAATCAATGGGCTTACATTGTCATCGTTCAGCTCATCACGCTGGCGACAGCGGCAACAGTGTAAGCAACTCTTATCCTGAATGAATGGGAGTGCCTGTGTGTATTTGTGTGAGTGTGTGTGTGTGTGTGTCTCTGTGTGTGTGTAAACACTGTTGATGTTTTCTCATTGAGTCACCATCAGCAAATGAATACCGAGTGCTGTACTGTAGAGACTTCCTGGAAGCAGCTGGCCTGAATACCTAGCCACCTCAGTTGGTTTTTTTCTACATTGTGTAGAAGATAACAGGCTTCCTAGAACATCATGTCTGCGGAGAACTTAGCAGTAAGTTCTGCACACATTCAGGGACCAAAACGGCTCCTTAGGTGACCCTGTCTGGAACTCTGGATACTCGGTGCCCTGCTTAGCGGTGTATTCCTCCCACAGCGCATGGCTCTGCTGTCAGGTTGGCTCAGTAGCAGGCATCCTCCGGGCAGGTGCCCAAGAGCAGGCAGCCTCCTTCGGAGGATGACCAAGTTACAGAGCGGACCTACTTTTTCACCAGACGAAGGAAGGCTAGGCCCTGTGACACACCTGAAGATGTGCTCTGGGCAGCATAACAGGCCGATGTCCTGCAGACCGGAGGAGGAAAGGTGTGAAGTTAGACAGGCAGCCACCAGATTGTCTACACGGATCAGGCTTGGCTGGAAATTGTAGTCTGGAGTTGAGTGGAAACAGCACCCTTGGGACGTGAATCTAGAGTCTTCAGCATTTTGATGGGAAGCCACGAGATGGGGGGGGGGGGGGCTAACGAGGAAGAGGCCTTGGTGGCACTGAGTCCCAGAAAAAGACCAAGCAGAGGCTGATGGAAGAGGGATGGTAGGAGACAAAGCAGGAGAATGTAGGCTGTGGAAGCCATGGCAGGGGAGCCATCAAAGAGAGACGGTTGATGAGGTCCTTGTTGCTACAAAAATCTAGAATTTCACGGTTCAGTGTGTGGGTCACTACTTACGTGTGCTAATCAGGTTTTATTTTTATTTTTATTTATTTATTTTTGTTGTTGTTGGTTCAACTTGACACAAACAAGGGTCATCTGGGAAAGGGGGAACCTTTAATTGAGAAAATGCCTCCATCAGATTGGCCTGTGGCAAGTTTGTGGGGCATTTTCTTGATTAATGATGGATGAAGGAGGACCCAGCTCACTGGGGGCAGGGCCATCCCTGGGCCCGCAGGGCTGGGAACATGAAAGGTAGCTTAATTTGAGCCTGGGGAATAAGCAATGTTCCTCCATAGTTTCAGGTCTGGACGTCAGGTTCTCGCTTTAGCATTTCCCTCGACGATACAGCATGGCTGGAAGTCTGAGCCAAATAAGCCGTTCTCTTCCTAAGTTGTTTTTGAGCCTGGTGTTTATCACTGTAGCAGAAAGCAAACTAACTCACTGCTTGTGGCCTCTAAACACTTGAAATGTGACCTCTTCAAACCGAGATAGTCCGGAAATGTAAGATAAAATACACGCTAGGTTTCGGAAATTACTTCATCAATGGTTTATCAGTAATGATGTGTTGAACTGATATATCCAGGATTAACTGGTTTAAATAAATCACAATGTTTGGGATTAATTGGGTTAAACGAAATACATCATGAAAATGCACTTGCTTCCTTTTACGCTGTGAAATAACAGAAAATCGTGAACTATACGTGTGTCTCGCGCTGTGCTTCCTTAGAGTGTTCTACAACACGGAAGTCGTTAGCAAACCTGAGGACTGGGGCCGTCGTTTGGTAGATGCACAGAGCCCTGGGTTTGATGACCTACATTGTATAAACTGGGTGTGTCAAATACGCTCAGAAGGAGCAGAAGTTCAAGGTCAACCTTCGATACACAGTTGGTTCAAGGTCACCATGGGCTTTGTGATACCTTGCCTCAAAACAAACAAACAAACAAACAAACAAACAAATAAAACAAAAACAAGCAGCCTGAGGCCTACCTGATGGTTTATGCAGACAGTGAGACTGCGTCATCCTTGCAGAGTATCTTTTGCCTGGAATTAAATAAGAAAGTAACACTAAAATTTCATGTAGAATTTTTGGTCTGAATGCGCTCCAACAATTTTGCATAATTTGACAGTATAATATCCTTGAAATAAACTCTTAACACGTTAAAATATTTAACCTGTTTTTCTTTCCTTTCTCCTTTTTTTTTTTTTTTTTTTTGGTCATTTTTCTTCTTTATTTTAAATCCTCAATTCACTTTTATTTATGTTTCTGTTTTGTTTTGTTTTGTTTTTTTTTCACATATCTGGCCAGGAAACTTCATGGTGTTATGGTCGACTTGCCGCACAACCGTGTTCAAATCTGTCACCAACAGGTTCATTAAAAACCTGGCCTGCTCCGGGATTTGTGCCAGCGTGGTCTGTGTGCCCTTTGATATCATCCTGAGCACCAGCCCTCACTGCTGCTGGTGGATCTACACCGTGCTCTTCTGCAAGGTGCTCAAGTTCCTGCACAAGGTCTTCTGCTCCGTCACCATCCTCAGTTTCCCCGCCATTGCCCTGGACAGGTTAACTGAAGTTTTTTTTGTTTTTTTTTTTTGTTTGTTCTTAACTTTTGTTCATTTGTGTTGTTTGTGTCTGTGCACACACACACATATGTTTGTGTGTGTGTTTAGGTCTGAAGCTGGGGTTACAGGCATGTGTGAGCTGTTCAGCGTGGGCACTGGGAACCAGACTTGGGTCCACAGAATGAGCAGAAAGTGACTTTAAACAAACACTAAGCCATCTCTCCAGCCCTGAGGGTTTTTTTTTTTTTAATGTATTGAAAAATAAGCATTACAAAATGAATGACGAGCAGTTGACATTCCATACACTGGTTTCTTTTTTAGTATGCTCGTGGCCATCAGAAAGCGAACGTGTGTCCAAACAGAGTCTTAAAAAAGGATGAGTTAGACATCCACGGACCACCTTGAGAACAGACCTAGGGGTCGGGTTTATGCACCAGGATGCTACTGGATCTTAGCGCCCTTCCAGCCTGCTTGGAGTTGGCACACTGCAGTTTGAAGCGGCTTGCTCATCTGATTGATAACTCTGCAATTAGGGCTCTTTGATGCAGGCTGAGAGCATCTGGGAGAGAAAGGGAATGATTCAGTGTGGTTATTTAACGAATGCTCTGATAGCTCCGATGGCACCAGAACCCCCCCAGAGGAACTAGTTCTGGGGTTTCACCCTGCCCTGTTGGCTCTTTTCTCTTTCACCATCTTTAATGGGTTTTCGGAGATGAGTTGAATGCCTTAGTTACTGCCAACTTTCATGACTTGGATGGCAAAGCACTTGTCTCAGTTTATCTCCTATGGGCTCTAACGATTTCATTTTCTGTTGGGTCATTTGCATCATGGCGGGTGTCCTTCTGTAATTCCCTTGTGCTCTGGTTGAAGCCCCCCCCCTTTTTAAGGTGGTGTCTCTCTGTGTTGTCTAGCATAGCTTCAAATTCCTGGGCTCAAGCAATGCTCATGCCTCGGCCTTTCTATTAGCTGGGATGAAAGGTGGTGTCAGTGAACCGTTAGATCTTCACTCTTACATCATGGACTCTTTTTTTTTTCCTGCAAGCTTTTAAAGATAACTTTTGGGGTACAGTTTGCATGTTATCTGAAATCAACTATTTTAGAGATTCAAGTCAAGGAGCATTCTTTCAATTAGCGCACTAGACTATAGCACAGGTCACAGTCTCGGGTCAGAATTTCTGTACCTTCCCAAGGAACCCAAGGCTGGTGGGTCCTCGCTCCCGTTCCTGCCCATGCCATCACCATACCTCATGTAAGTAGGTTCACACATCCCGGGGTCTTTTGTTTCTAGTTCTTTGACTTAGCATGTTGGAGCAGGTCTCAGCATTTCATTAGTTTTCCTATGGGCACATAAAAGTCCACTGTGGGGTACCACCTTTTGATTATTCATTTACCAACTGGTGGTTATTGGCCTTCCATCTTTTGGTTGCCATGGATGCTGAAAGTTGTTTTTTTTTTTCTTTTTTTAAGATTTAAAAATTTTACTTTATGTGTATGTGTGTTTTCTCTTCGTGTATGCGTTTGTTTCATAAGTGTGTGTGTCTGGTGCATAGAGAGGTCAGAATTAGATCCCCTGGAACAGGAACAGGAATTACAGTCAGCCGTGAGCTGTTATGTGGGTGTTGGGAACCGAACTCAGGTCCTCTGGAAGAGCTATAAATGTTTATAACCCCTGAGCCATTTCTCCAGACCAACGAGGAAAGCTTCTAGAGAAGAGGACTCCGTGAGAACGGGAACTTTTTATTTGGATCAGCATTACGCCATAGATCAGCACAATAACCCCCTATTTGTTCTGTGTAGGCCCTCTATCATAGAGGAAAATATTCGAACAATTAAAAAAAAAATCCCTGTTTTCCTTCCAGATGATAAACCATTGTGTTTTAAAACCTTCACTCATAGAAAAAAGTAAACGAATGCTTTAGTAGAAAAAAAGCAGACTAGCAAATTCCTACTCTATTATTCACAGATACGAATGACTTGGGGTGCACTTGAAGAAGGGGCGTGGCTCTTTTCACATCTTTGCATTTATTTGCCTCATGACATTAAGTCAGTAAGTTAATCAGGAGGCCTCCTGCACTTCCCACATCCTCCTCTTGGAGACGCACACACTGAGAACGTTATCTATAATGAGCTGTGTGCACGTCTCACAGTTTAATTCCCAGTGTGTCATGGGATGGGAAAAATGATCGTGTTCCCCTGTCAGTGAGCAAATGGCAACCGGAGCCAGGGCGCTCCTGGGCGTGTTTTCCTGTGAGAGAGTGGTGCCGTCAGATGTCTATCGAGTTGTGATGAGAAAAGTGCTTTGAAAGCATGCGTTGTTCATGTACATTCTTTTCTTTTCTTTCCCAGGGCCGAGGGGAGACTATGTAGAACCCATTTCACAGTGCCCCACCCTTCTGTGATCACCCCTGGCCCGTGTGATACTGACATCATGCGTCTCTCTCCGCCTCAGGACATTCTCTCACAGTCCACCATCAAACTCCACACAGCGCCACCTTCCCTGGTAGCTTCCCTGGTAGCTTCCCAGGTAGCCGTAGGCACTCTAAGCCAGGCACCCACTCCGGCAGAGCCGGCAGAGCCGTCACCTTCCAGTCTGTAACTGTTCATGCGTTCTCTCGGAGCGCAGAGATGTTCGTGCATAGCTCTTCATGTTTGTACTCAGCCTGGCACAAGGGCCACCCACGGTCATTCGTTCTCATCTGTCCCCATGAGTGAGGGACTACCATCAGGGTAGAGAGATCAGCTCCAGTGCTGGCTGACAGCCGAGTTGAGGGTCAAGCTAATACAAAGAATCTCGCCATACCTCTGGTGGCTGGAGGCAGTTTCTTGGCGCAGGGTATAGTTATGGGGTCTGAAAAACTATTCCATTTTCTCAGCCTACTGATGACATGAAAACAAGTTACATTTGGAATCTCTTCTTTAGTAGTTGCAGAATGATCAAATTATAGCTTGTAAGGGGGGAGAATTGCATATGATTTTAACATCAAATTAATTATGCAGCTATTTCAGACCTGCTGGTTGCTCTTAGGATTATGATAACTGGCTACTGGACAGACACAATGCGATTGTCCAGATTTGACTGCGATCTGTCATTCATTTGGGCGTCTTCTGCCATGCGCAGCCTTAGAAGCTGATAATCTGCAGTGTATGGGCTGGGATGTGAGTCTCCTTTTGATATGTGTGTAGATACATTTGACGTCACAGTGGTTTAAAATTCCCAGAGGCGTCTCAGTGTAGAAATTTTGCAAGGTACTCCTTACCATTACATTGAAAACCACATAGCCTTCATGCAGGAAGCTTCAAGGATCTATAGTCTTTATGTCAGGAGAGCTTGAGATCTTAGTGCTGGTGGCAATAATTCTAAGGCTAGTTATGAATTGAATTTATTTGCTTGTTTTCCTGATAAAGTCTTAAAAGTTGCATAAGGACAGGGCTTTTCTCTGCATCTTCAGAAAGTTTTTTTTGTTTTGTTTTTTGGTTTTTTATTTATTTATTTTTTGTTTGTTTGTTTACTGGCCTTCCCACTGTACTCCAGAGTTCTCAAAACCTAAGGTCTGGCCCCCTGGAATTCTTCAAATGATTCCACCTGTCTCAATTATTGTCCCCTCCTGCCCACTTTTGCTAATTTAATGTTCCCCTAATTTCAAAAGTATTTTTCCCGTGAAATGAATTTTGTTCTCCTGTCGCGCAGGTACTACTCTGTCCTCTATCCTCTGGAGAGAAAAATATCTGACGCCAAGTCTCGGGAGCTGGTAATGTACATCTGGGCTCACGCAGTGGTGGTCAGTGTCCCCGTGTTCGCTGTGACCAATGTAGCTGACATCTATGCCATGTCTACCTGCACGGAAGTCTGGAGCAACTCCTTGGGCCACCTGGTGTACGTCCTGGTCTACAACGTCACCACGGTCATTGTGCCCGTGGTGGTGGTTTTCCTCCTCCTGATCCTGATCCGCAGGGCCCTGAGTGCCAGCCAGAAGAAGAAAGTCATCATCGCCGCCCTGAGGACGCCGCAGAACACCATCTCCATCCCCTACGCCTCCCAGCGGGAGGCGGAGCTACACGCCACCCTGCTCTCCATGGTGACAGTTTTCATCCTCTGCAGTGTACCCTATGCCACCCTGGTTGTCTACCAGACCGTTCTCAATGTCCCCAACACCTCCGTCTTCTTGCTCCTCACGGCCATTTGGCTGCCCAAAGTCTCCCTGTTGGCCAACCCCGTGCTCTTCCTGACCGTGAACAAATCGGTACGCAAGTGCTTGGTGGGGACCCTGGTGCAGCTGCACCACCGGTACAGCCGCCGCAACGTGGTTAGTACGGGGAGTGGGGTGGCCGAGGCCAGCCTGGAGCCCAGCATGCGCTCTGGCAGCCAGCTCCTGGAGATGTTCCACATCGGGCAGCAGCAGATCTTTAAGCCCTCAGAGGACGAGGAGGAGAGCGAGGCCAAGTACGTCGGCTCAGCTGACTTCCAGGCCAAGGAGGCACTCACCTCGTGCCCAGAGGGAGAACAGGAGCCACAGCTTGTACCCTCCGTACCACCCCCGGGCACAGCGGACTCTGTATCTCAGGTGGCCCCAGCAGCCCCTGTGGAACCTGGGATATTCCCTGATAAGTATTCTCTGCAGTTTGGCTTCGGGCCTTTTGAGTTGCCCCCTCAGTGGCTCTCTGAGACCCGAAATAGCAAAAAGAGGCTGCTTCCCCCCCTGGGAAATACCCCGGAAGAGCTGATCCAGACGAAGGTGCCCAAAGTGGGCAGGGTGGAGCGGAAGATGAGCAGAAACAATAAAGTGAGCATTTTCCCAAAGGTAGACTCTTAGCAAGGATTGTAAGTGCCCGGAAGCGGCAGGGCACCTGTATATTCCCGCCCTCCCTCCACTCCGGCTGTAAGCCTCTGCGGGCTGATCCTCCTCAGCAGGGCAAATGCTTCTGAATGAAAGGGAAGTCTACATAAAATCCAATGTCCTCTTTATTGAGGGAGTATATATCTATCTATCTTAGTGATCTGTGTCCTCAGTCAAACCCTAAACTGTAAGCTGGGTCGTGTGGCCCAGGTCTGAGGGGGCCTCCCTGCACATTTTCTGGGAGACTCCTCCTTTCCCTGTGTATAGCAGAGAACCCAAAGGGAGCAGGTACTCTGAGGAGGCCAAAGATAATTATGGGCTGCAATGGCCACAAGGAAGAAGCTGACTTGGCTTTTTAAAATTTGGGGGTTGGTTTGTTTGTTTGTTTGAGACTGGGTCTCTCTATGTAGCCCTGGCTGGCCTGGAACTCTCCATGCAGATCAGGTGGGCCTCACACTCAGAGATCCACCTGCCTCTGCCATCTGAGCGCTGGGATTAAAGCACTCATGTGCCACCATGCGCAGTTAAGAAGCCTATTTTGGTAACTAAATAGGAATAACAAGCATCAAATGTTTCTGTACTGCGGAGACAGAGCCATGGTGCCCAATGCTGTCCCTTAGATTTCTCAGTCATCTGATTCTTGTTTTCTATCATCTCTCATCCAGTCTTCTGGTCACAAAGAAGAGACGACTGGTCCCACCTTATGATAGACGTGGCAATGTCTGAGGGAGGCTTTTTGCCCTCGATTTATCTTTGCAACCTGTTGGTACCACCAAGGCCTCCAACAAGTGGGCCTGCTTCTGTCAGTCATCAGCAGTGTTGTCTGCAAAGCTCTGCGAACCCTTCACTGTGCGTATCCACTAAAGTATATCTGATCGACAACAGCGAAGGAAGCTTTATGGTGGTAGAGACAGTCCAAGAAGTGCCCATGATGCATAGTCTTTTTTTTTTCTTTTTCTTTCTTTCAAAAGAAAGAAAAAGATTGAGTGATGTACAGGTGAGAAGTATGAGTGGTTATATGGTTGAACACTGCTTCCCAGTCTGAGCCACGGTGGGCGGGAGAGAGCACCCTTTCAGCAGCTCGGTGTCCTGATCCTCATGTGTGATCCTCTGCGGGATTGCTCTTTCAGGCCGAATTCAAACCCCATCCTCTTCTCTCACCTCATCAAGTCAACAACTCTGGTCTTCTTTGTGAGGGTGTTTTGTTCTTGTTCATGGCACTTGGTGGTGCCAGTCGGGTGTCTTGAATGGATGGATGTTCCTTATTGGCAACCTTCTACCTATCAGAGGTGGTGGTCATAGCAGGCCCTGTTTTATTCATGCTGGCCCTTGTTCCCTAGGAGGAAGCCCAGTCCATGTGTAGGGAGCCTCTCTTTCTTTTCTATTCTTTTGTTGTGTGATGTCCCGCGATTCCTGAGTGTGAACCCAAACACCTTCCCCTTGGAGAGGGAGCAGCTTCCTTTCTGTTTGTCACCTCACAGAGTTGTTTGTTCAAAGCAGAAACAAGACCCTCTCTGAGACCCTGCGGCCCTCTGCGCCCTGTGTACACGCCAGCTGTAGCTCTTTGGTCCTGATACTGTGTTGACACTGTGGCCCTCCACACTCATCATTCAAAGCCTTCTCCATTGTTACAGCTTTTACTAAGGGGAAAAAAATAACCTGTCGGAAAATTCTGCGTACCTGAGAAGAATCTGTCAGATGTGTTCGTGTTGGTGTCATCCTGACAATGTGTATGACCTAATATGTTCTCAGCAGCAGAGTTTTGTCCTCCAAATTCTCATGTATGTTTGAAAGAGAAGGCTGACATTTAACTGGTTGTCAAATGTGTTTCTATACTCTTTGAGGAATAACATTTTAATAAAAATTAAAAACCTTGTATCTGGGCTCTAATGATTGTTTTAGCCATTTCTCCACCTTGCTCATCCCTTTAAACAAGGCCTCAAATGAAAGAGAGCCGCTTGTCTCCCAAGAATACAGTCCCCGCACCATAGAAGCATTTTCCCATGCTGTTGTTGTTGGATGAATGAAAATTAATTCCCCAGGGAGGAAATGCGACATTTGAATGAATGGCACAAAGATGGACTCAGAGTTGAGCTGGTAAGTGGGCTGTGCAAGTCGGCCAGTAGAGCTCCGTGTCAGTGTGGCTTGAAGCCTCATCAGCTTTCCAGTCTTTGGAGTTCTAGACTTGGACAGGTGAGGAGTTTGCCATGTGCCTCAGTCTCCTTTCTGTAACATGGGAGATAACTGTGATAGAACCTTACGGTTATGACATCATCTCTGATCAGATTTTAACTGTGTCTACGGTCAGGCCGTGTTGGTGACATCCACTCTCTTCCCTGCATTCCGAAAGACCCACTTTTTTGCCCCGCTTTCTTCCCTGGGATAAATTATTCCTTCTGGAGGTTATATTTACCCTGTGGACATGGAAACCAGTGAACAATACCCTTACTCCCTGCCCCTCTGCTTGATAATCATAGGAGACAAATGTCCCACTTTTAGAAGGCAAACAGAATTGAATGCCTACTGTTACCCTGTTGCCTAATTAATACATCCCCAAATTGGCTCTTACTCCTTTTAATTTTGATCCTTTTTATTTTATTTTATTTTGACCCAGCCTCATGTATGCTCTAAAGAATCACCCTCAAATTTTCTACCTGCACAAAGTTTTACCTCACTCCATGTTCAGTGAAACCCGAGGCATACAGGAGAAAGCTAATGAGCAAGCATGAGTGTTAAATGGTTTGACTCAACAGAGGCAGGCCCAGAGAAGTGCTGAATCATTGTTGGGCCTTAATCGATTTAGAATGTGATTCAGAGAATCACATTCACTGGGTGCTTTCCCAGGTTATTCTAACAATCATCACGATGCTGACCCTTTGGGCGATGCATACACAAAAGGACTGTTTAAGTCCCCAGGGAGAGAAGCCATCAGCCAGGTTGTTTCTTTAGACCATTCAGATGCCATATCTGAAAACAAACGCATAAGACTTACAACGCTAGTGACACAGAAGTAGGACCGAGTGTACAGAAAGTGTCAGGGGTCACACACAACCCAGCGTGGACTATGTACAGCCAAGGGGCCGCAAGCCCGTCACCTGCTGTGCTGCATTTCTATTGGCATTCGTAGTCAAGTCTGATAGAGAGGACTGCCCTGCCTATGTGATGTCCAGCTTGTGACACGCCTGTATCCTGGCTTGACGTGCACCTCCAATGTAATATGCCCTGACGGGGAAATAGTTTATGCTAGTCTGTCTTTTCACGAAGGATAAGGATTAATGCCCTTATTTTTTAAAAATTATTTTATTTTATTTGGACTGGTGTTCCGCCTCCACGTATGTCTGTATGAGGGTGTGGGATCCCCTGGAACTGGAGTTACAGACAGCTGTGAACTGCCATGTGGGTGATGGGATTTGAACTTGCGTCCTTTATGGAAGAGCAGCTCGTTCTCTTAACCACTGAGCCATCTCTCCAGCCCCCTGCCTTCATAGTTTTAAGTGCATCTTAAATATTTTGAAATTTGAAGACACAAGCACAGTGCACTGGGGTCATATTCACCCTTTCTTATTCCTCCTCTCCTGCCAACTACTTTCCTCCCAGCCATTCTCCCCACTACCTTTATGTCTTTTTATTTGTTTTTGGACCCACTGAGTTTAATTATGGTTGGCTGCAAGAGCGTGGGAGGGGGGTTGTTTACTGGAGCACAGGCAACTTACCAGTGGTTACAACACTGGAGAAAACTATATCTCCCTCCCTGGCAGCCATTAACTAATGCTTTCGGATGGAAGTCTACCAACGTGTAAGTAACGCTGTGACAAAATGCTCAGATAGTTGCAAATTTTTACCAGGCTCATGCCTCAACGGATGTGCTATATTAGAGTTCTGTGGCCCAAAGAGAAGTGCATCATGGTAAATGGGGGCGGGGAGAGGGGAATGTGTGCATAAATCAGAAATTGAGCAGACAAGCTCCCAGGGCAACTGCAAAGGCCTTTGTGTGGGAAGCTGTTAAAATAAATGAGCTCCGACTCTCCGTGGACAATGCTTTGGGAGCTAAAACATTCTCTCTGCTCTAGGTTCCAATAAGTGTTTCCCCTCCTCTGTGCCAAGGGTTTCGGTTAGTTAATCAGGAGAATAAAGTCCTGGGGCCTTTCATAAATATGATACCGCAATCTCCAACATGGTTTTAGGGAAACCTCCACAGCTATTCATGTTCTGAGCACTCAGGAGCCTCTCACTGTCAAATTTAAATGAATTAATAATAGATGGATGAATAAATAAATAAGAAATAATAGCCTATGGGGCAGCGGCGGAACCTTTCTGGTGGAAGGTTTGCTGTCTGGGAGTGCTGTTGCTGGTTCTTGTGAATTCCTCTAATGACTCAGGCCAGGGCTAACGGCACAGAAGGCAGGATTTTATAACCTTCTCTCCTCAACCCTCCATTCTTGTTTGAATTCAGTAGAGATGGTGTAAGTTCTGAAGCCAGGTGAGGGTGTGGGTGGGGTGGGATTCAATACTGAGGAACATGGCTCCCGACTTACATAACAGGCATGAACAATAATTCTTTTTCACCTGTATTAACCAGAATTTAGTGATCCTGGGGTAGGAACATCTCTGACAAGCTGGAGACCAGGGTAGGCTCCTGGGAGGATATAAGGGGGATTCAAGCAGAAACTCCTAGTAGCAGAGGCTGTAGAGACTGAAGAGGACACCCTCTAACTAGACTAGTCTCTAGTAAAGGGCGGGGAACACCAACCCACCCACAAAAACTCTGACCCCAAATTAACCCTGCCTATGAGATGTGCAGGGATAGCAACAGAGCACACAGAACAGAGATGGAGGGAATGCCCAACCAGTGCCTGGCCCAGCCAAAGACCCACCCTATCGGAGAGTGCCAGCCCCTGACACTCTGCTAAGGATGCTTTGCTAAGCTTGCAGGCAGGAGCCTGTCAGAGTTGTCCTCTGAGAGGCTGTACCCAACAGCACCTCAAAACAGATGCTGTGACTTACAGCCTAGCATTGGTCAATGATAGGGAGTCTTGGGGAATAGTGGAAGAAAAGAGAAAAGGACCTGGAAGTGACAGGAGCTCCACAAGAAGACCAACAGAGCCAACTAACCAGTGCTCAGAGGGGTTTGCTGAGACTGAAGCATCAACCAAAGACCATGCATGAACTGGACCCTACAAAAATGTAGCAGATAGGCAACTTAGGCTTCAAGTGGGTCCTCTAGTAAGGCAAGTGGGAGCTGCATTGGACACGGACTTACTTGCCAGCTTTTAGATCACTTTCCCCTGGCAGGACTGCCATGACAGGCCAGAGGGGAAAAGGACCTGTTCAGTCCTGTTGCAACTTGTGGGACTGGGAGGGGAAGAAAAAAGGGGCTAGAAGGATATAAAGTGAATAAAATAAACACATAAGGAAAAAAGTATTTAGTGATCCCAGATTTATTTGTTTTTTTATTCATTGCAATCCATATATAATATAGCATCTACAAAAAGAGGGGCTGGAATGAACACGAAACTTTCCAACCTAGAGTTCTCCATCTAGCTAGACCTCAAATGAAAAGGTAGAATAAAAATATTAACATGTATCCAGTTCTCAGAAAACTTACCTCTCGTGTACCCTTTTCCTAAAAGACACTTGAGGATCTTGTCATAAAAGAAGCGGAGGAGAAGAGGAAACGAACCAGGGGGTTAGACAGAAGGCCTAGGACACTGATGACAGCAATAGTGACTCCTGCTGTCCTGGAGAAGGGGACCTTAGGATGAGGGTGGATAAGGTGTTAAGGTCACCAGTCTGCGCTGGAATGGTGTGATTTGAGTCCACTTGTGCTCCTATGACAGACTGCCACAGGCTACATGACTTATGAACAGTCCTTTATTTCTCAGTTTTGGAATATGGGAGTTTAAGGTCAAGGTGCCAGTAGGTTCCACTGTCTGAAGACGGCACCTCTGTGCTTCCAAGACTGGTATCTTGCTTGCTGCTGTGTCATCTGGGGAGGAAGAAGGGCAGTGTACTCACCTGATGGGAAGTAGAGAAGCACGCCCATTAGGTCCATGAAATCACTTTTATATAGGCCATAGCTCCATTGAGAAGGAAGGAGCCAGCCCTTGTGGCCTAATCACCTTGTGAAGGCCCGACATCACGCAGCCCAGATGAAGGAACGTAGAATTCTCTAGGAGGGGTAGTTTCCAAAGAGAGTGCAGCCCTGGGCTGGGCAGATGGCTAAGGAGGAAATAAGGAACAGCACTTGCTGAGAAGACTCGAGGGCCTGAGTTTAGACCCCACCACCCGTGTGAGAAGCCGGGTGTGGCCACACATGGCGTCTGACCCCAGCCCTATGTGGGGGCAGAGACAGGAGCGGTGGTTTTGCTGGTTGGCCACCAGCCCCCCTCGAGGTTCAGTGGAAGACCCCGAGCTGCGGGAGTAAGGTGCACAGTGATAGGAACCTTTTCTAGCTGCACGTGTGTGTGCACGGGGCATGTACACTTATACACAGTCATGTGCCTACATCACACACATGTAACCCACAGACACACCAACAAGTGTAATTCATGTCACAGGATGACCTCATACCTAAGGGTGTATGGGTAGTACAAACAGTGATGCATTTAAAACAAACAAAACAACCTCCCCCCAAAAACAAAATCTGGGGCCATAGGGCTGGCAGGTGGTGAGAGCTGGCCGTGGGCCCGAAAAGAGTTAGAGGGTGAATAGGAGTGTTGGAGGGTGAATATAATCATAATACATTGTGTGAAATTCTCAAACGGTTAAAAAAAAGAACACAATTTAGAGACGCTACGTACGTGGCGCATGGAGGCATTTGAGGGATACAGGAGGACTCAGCAAGAGGTACAGGAGAATGAGGCAAAGCCA